GAGGGTCGGGATTATAGGGTATATGTTGGGGTTATATTGGGATATCATACTATGGTACCCATTATATAATGGAGAATCAAATGGAAAAGAAAATGGAAAACGAAATGGAAACTAGGGGAACTTAGTGAGTGGGTTAATAAGGGGCGATAACTAGGGTTACATGTGGGTTATAGGGTATTTAAGCTACTTACTAAGCCTCCCTGACCCTCCAAGAAGCATCTTGCCAGTGAGCAGCGCCGGGTGCGCTCAGCTCAGGCCAGTGTCGCATCGTTTCAATCTTCTCATCCGGTTGATGCCAGTCGCGACCTGAATTTACAATGTTTCGGATCGTCGCCTGCGACGATTAATACCCAGGCCAATTCGGAGCTAAATGGCTAGTAGCTCCCAGGCACCATCGGTCCTACCCTCAGGAATGAAAGCATGGCAGCGCACTGGTAATGATAATGTAATGGTTGAGGCCACTTGTGGTAGCAGCGCTGGCAGCAAATGCGGCTGCTGGCGCCATCAGTGTGCAGTCTGCTCGGAGGCAAGTTGTGCACAAAGTTCTTTGCAACAAAGTGGTAGTTTCCCAAAATAGGGGACCTCAATATGGACCCCATCATATTACAATCTTTATTATGGGGACCCTCAAAAAGGTACCCATAAAATTTAGGAAACTCCCAACATCCGAGCGTGTTGCTGAAAGGCGGCCACTCCTGCGATCACTGCGGAGAAAGGCAGTCTGTGTTTGCATGTGAGTAGTATTTTATTTGGGGATACTATAGTACCCAATAATATAGGGTTTAGGGCCCTATAATGGAGAATCAAATGGAAGAGAAAATGGAAAATGAAATGGAAACTGGGGTTATACAGGGGTTACATGGGGGATATAGTATTTTATTTGGGGATACTATGGTTCCCAATATAGAGTAAGATTATATCCTCCTTTTGGGTATAGTGTTTTATATAATGAATATTATCTTACTAGGTTCAGCCACCAAAAGAAACGCTACTCATGTCAGCTGCAGTGGTGAGCTTTGGCTGCGGGTTGGCAGGCTGCACTGACATCCAAAGAAGGCGGTGAAACGGCCGCTTTCTGGTCTGCACCCTGGACCCCAGAGGGCCCAGTAACCCTTAATCAAGGAATATAGCTCAAATCATATGAGGGATCCTATAGTATCATTTAGGGTCTATTCCTTAGTTGAGGCGTATTGGGCGTTCTGGGACCAAGCCTGCACTTGTGTTGGTCCTCTCCGCAGTTTCCCAGGACCCCCGAAACCCTAAACCCTAAAAATGTGCGTGTCCATAAGAACCCCCAAACCCCAAAATATAAATCCTGCACCCTGAACCCTAAACCCTAGAACCCAAGCCCTAAACCCTAAGCCAGTATGGTCCCAGGACTATCTGCCTCGTGGCAGTGTACATCACCTGCGACATAAGCGTGAACCTCTGCAGTGAGGCCGCTTCGCAAGGCCAGAAGACATGATAAAGACTGCAATGGAGTACAAAATTGGGTCTTCCCAAAATTAGGGGTATCTTTTGAGGGTACTTCTAATAAAGATTATAGTATATTAGGGTCTTCATGGGGGTCCCCTATTTTGGGAAGCTACGAAATCTAAGCGTTGGATCAGTGCAGGCTATCAGAAGGCCAGTGCCGTGCTCATCACGTCCCTGGTCTCTGCAATCATCGGTGCCCGCCTGGGATCAACGGTTTGCCCAAGGTTCTCGGGTTTAGGGCCTAGGGTTTAGGGGGAACCTCCACCACCCCTTAAACTCCCCGATGTAGTTCACGAGATATTCAGGAGGATATTCTTCGGAAGCTTTATTAGGGGAATCTCCACCTGATGATGCTGAGGTGCCGTGTGGGCATGGCGGCAAGATGGGACAAGGACATCCAGCTGCGCTGCTGACGCACAATAATAGTAATAATAGCAATACTGGCAATACTGGCAATTCTGGCAATAATGGTAAGAGTAGTTATAATAGTAGAATAGTAACTTGAATAGTAATGATCGTAAAAATGGCAATAATAGTATTATCAGTATTAATAGTAATGACAGTAATAATAGTAATAATAGTGATAATAGCACTCATAGTAATACCTTGGCACAACGCAAGGGGTTTGCATCGATGCATCGCACCAGAGAATGCTGAGGACTCAGATGGAACTAAGTGCGCATGAAGCCCCAAATTGGCTTGTCAGTCTAGGGTTTAGGGTTTAGGGTTTAAGGTTTAGGGTTCAGGGTCAAGTTCTGATAGCCAAGGTCTTTTATCCATCCAACCTGTTTGCCTCCGTGCCTGCAGCCTAGAGGAAGCAGCTTGTCACAGCATGCGAAGATGAAGGTTCACCGCATGTGGGGTTTCCCAAAACTAGGGATACCTTTTTGGGGCCCCCATAATAGGGATTATGCCATGATGCCTATTATGGGGGCCCCCACCCTAATATAGGAAATTCATTATAGTATATTCGGGTCTATATTGGGGTCCCCCCTATTTTGGGAAACTATCACCATGTTTTTGCTAAGGTTGTTTGCTTGTTCAAGCATCTCGCTATTGAAGGCGCCAGAGCTAGAGAGTGCAGTGGTAATTATTTCCATGAAAATATGAGCCATAATTAAAAGGGAGTTATATAGGGGATTATATAGGGGACTACTATAGGGCTTGGTAAGGGCGATACTAGGAGATTAGGCTATAGCGTATATCAGTACTAGCATCAGCTTTACAGGATTAGGCTTGAACATAAATTCTATTTTTAGTACAATTCATCCCTATATGAGCCATTGTCTAAACTCCTAGTATCCCCCTTAATATCCCCTATAGTAGACCCCTATATAATCCCCTATATATCCCCCCTTTAAGGAGTTTAGACTATGGTGCATATAGTCCGTATAAGGCCATCGTAATTTTTCTTATGTGCAGGGACCCCAAACCTGCCCTGCATGAGAGGTCAGAGGACTGCAAGTGCCGCATACCTAACATGTGAAGTCCGGCATTGCTAAAATGAAGCCCTGCCCCTATCCAAGAGATGTAAGGGGATTACATGAGGGTTATGGGGGTGTTTACTGGAGATTCTATAGAGAAACCCCAAACCCTAAACCTTAAACCTGGCACCCTGAACCCCAAACCCTAAAACCCAAGCCCTAAACCCTAAGCCAGTAAAAAGACAGGCCTTTGAGAAGCAGAGCGCTGCTTTCATCAAGCTGGTCGGGCAGGCTCTGATAATTTCCCGTGAATCCCTACAACAAGGGTTTCAAGGGTTTAATCAACCGAAATGGAAAACGACATGGCAACAATAGGACTACACTAGTTTCTAAAAGTGGCGGGACCCCAACACGACCCCAATAAACAATAATCCTTGTTACAGGGAACGGGTACCCCTAAGTTTGGGAAGCCTTCATGTCAGGATCTGAATTGGGTGCCTATTTGTGCAAGTTCCATACCTGACTTCTACCTAGCTGTAGCCCAGTTCCCTGGCTATGGGTCATAATACCACTCTCGCAAAGGTACCCGCCCCAGCGTTTCAGGAGCTAATAAGGACGATCTAGGCAGGGGTAGGCTTGAACAACTAATTTCTTTTTCTTCCCCCAATCCTCGTACAGGCAAACAAATTAAGTTTTGTAGGGCCCGGAATGCTACCCTTTTAAGGTTTGCTTTGGCCTACTAGGATTCTAAATCTGGCAGGGGGTACCCTCTGGGGGGTTGCGAAGTAGCCTCTAGCAGGGGTTTAGGGTTTAGATCCTAAACCCTTAACCCTAAACAACCCTGGAGCCTCAGTTGTGGATAGGGATTCGATGGTCTGAATGTGGTGCCGAGTCTGGGGTTAAAGGTCCTGTGCGGAGCATGGGATGCAGCCTCTCTTGTTGCGAGGGTCGTGTCTAGCAAGCTTGCTTTGATGGTGGTGCGCCTGAGCCTTGCACGCCATCTGGGCCCCGCTGTAAAGCGCTCTTCGCCTGGATCTGCTAGTGGAGAAAGGGCCCTATATAAAAAAAGCAACCCTGGACCCCTAATTCCCAATCTAGCTGGTACTCCTGCTTACCTGGTCGCAGTTGAAGCTCCCTCTGGCAGCCATTCTGGCACGATACTTCCTGGGCAAGAAGTGCGCTTGGGGGGGATTCGAGGGTTTAGGGTTTAGGGTTCGTGAAGCAACTGTTGGATCTGAGTACAAACAAAACGTACACCCTGCGTCAAGGGTGTAATGTACATGCTCTGGAGGCAGATTTCAAAGAACCATTTTTTGCGGGATCCTCATATCTATGCAGGGGTTCCAAGAATTGGGGGTCCGTGTGTGGGATAGCATTTTGGCGTACGTAAGGTCGACCCTAAATCTGAAACTCAAAACCCTAGACTCTAAACCCTGAACACCAAACCCCAAATAGGGATATGCAGCCGAGTTGGTGGTAAGAACCCCGTGCCGAGCTCGGCAGATAACAAACTAGCTTGGTGGTCTGCAAGCAAGGACAGTGGTCAGAGGGTCGCTACAAAAACCTTGGCGATTGCAATTGGGCAGTAATCTAAATTCATAAAAGGGGGTTATATAGGGGATTATATCGGAGACTATTATAGGGGTGATTGAGGGAGATGCTAGGAATTTAGACTGTAGCTCAATTGGCGATCCCTTGTTCTCTGGCTCCCTACATCCTAAACCCTAGGCTTCTGTGAGGTATTCACTGGCCCTGAAGCTGAACATTTGGACCATCTCGTGTGCCTGTGGAGCCATCGTGGTCTGCAGCCAAGATGTAGGGTCTAGGGTTTAGGGGCTTAGGATTTAAGGGCATTGGCTTTGGGGTTTGGCATCGAGGGCTGAGGGCTTAGGGTTTCGGGTTTAGGGGTGGCAGGCTCAGAGCTAGGCCTCTGTGTCCTGAAAGTGGGCCACGCGCAAGACCCCAAATTTTTGGTGCTGGCCCTACCGGGGTAACAGTCTATGATAGGGGTTATATTAAGCGCTATCTCTTTGAGTATACACATACATATTCATACACATATATATATATATATATTTGTATTTATATATATATACATAAGACACACATACAAAGGCACACATACAAAGGTAGAGTTCCAAAACCCTCACAGAATTGGAATTCTTTGTGCCTAACATGTGTGACCCATTCTTCTCGTGGCCTCCCCACTCTTTTTGCACATGCACTTGTAGCATCTTGTAGCAGGCTGCAAACTCCTAGGAATAAATGCAGGAACTGGCATAGGGCCCGTGCTGAAAGCCCTCCAGCCGTCGACGATCAGTAGAGGAAAGACACAGCCAACTCAGACAGCACATCAACTTTGATACGATAAGAGCTTTGCAGATTTCAATCTTCCGGGCTCGGGGCAACTATGCCTGCGTCCAGACTTTGGAGCTCAGCAACCTTGCACCCTAAACTCCTGATTCCCCGGCCAAGCTCATGCCTTGGTAGACAATCATGGTGTAGGGTTTAGGGTGAAGAGATCCCAAGTAGTCGGGCGCGATACGCTCATCCATGGGAGCCGCAATGGAAGCTTGATATCCTACCTGGTGTCATTGAAACTTATCCCCAACCCTAAAGCCTGAACCCCTAAACCCTAAAACCCTGAACCTAAAATCCGGAGCCCTCACACCTTAAATCCTGAAGCCCTAAACTCTAACACCCTACGTAAAACCCCACAAAAAACCCCAAACCCTAAACCCTAAAACCCTAAACCCTAAAACCCTAAACCCTAAAACCATAAACCCTAAAGCCCTGAACCCTGTTCCCCGCTGAGGTGTTGAGGACCAACCTTGACTTTTGGGGAATCTTCAACAAGCTGAAGTATATCCTTTTTATGGCGCCTGGGCTAATAATTGTCAAAACAACCTGGGCATATCTTTATACCTATGTATATATATATATATGTATTCATTCAGGTTTATAGTAGTATTATATATTTATATGACACATGTGATTGGATTGTAGTATATCCTTTTCATGGTGCCTTGGCTGATAATATTAAGTCATGCTATGAAAAGTGATGGTAGTGCATTAGTAGCTCATACGAGTAGTAGTATGCATAGTGATAGTAGTGCCATGAGTAATGGGAGTAATAGCATGAGGAATTACAGTAATCGTGTTGCTCAAACAAAGAAGTATATACATATATGTATGTATCTCTCTCTCTCTCTCTCTCTCTCTCTTTCCTAGTGCCTTGCCTTGACCAGGTTGTTCATGTCATTTGGGCGGTGAGCGACTGCCTTCGCCACCCCACCCTGACTTGAGCCCTCTTGCAGTAAATTTCCTTATCCCTGGGCGTTGCTTTTTGATGAAGTCCGATATTTTGCTTCAAGGCTTCTAGTTACTAGTTCCCCGTGGGTGGCCTACCTATATGATGGATCTGCCCAACTGGCAAGCCAGAGACACTCCTGTAGTTCTCACCCTATTGGGGGGTTGTTTAGGGTTTAGGGTTTAGGATTTAGGGTTTAGGATTTAGGGTTAAGGGTTTAGGGTTTAGGGTTAAGGGTTTAGGGCTTAGGGATCACCCTGACGTACCCCAAGATACTATAGCCTTTCTCATGGAGATTCCTGAAAAGGAGCCGGCGGTCATGGGAAGCCCTAAATCCTGTAAACCACTACATAACCCAAATGTCCATTTCATTTTCCATTTGATTCTCCATTTTTGGGGTGCTATCCTTGAACCCTACAGACTCCCTATACACTCCCTATACAACCTTACATGACCCTACAGAATCCCTATATAATCCTAGAAAACCCTATAGCATCCATATACTATCCCTATGAATCAGCCCCTTTGTCTGCTCTGCACTTCCCAGGTTGTTAGCAATGTGGGCGCAAACCTTGCTGCGGAGAAAACGTTGAAGAGGGACGGTGCGCTGCCGTTTCACGTGATCATGACTAACATGAGGCAGGGTCCTGAGAGTTCCCTTGCATGGAGGGGCTTCTTGTACCCCAGCATATTGCAGTCCTGGGTTTAGGGGTTGAGGGTTTAGGATTGAGTATGAGTATGTGTGCTGCCAAATGGGAATCGTTATTCTTGGAAACCCTCCAGGGTAGAGCTGTGGTCGAAGCAAGCCACTCAAGCAGTTGATTTGTGCTGATTGAACATGGCAAGTGGTGCCTTTGTGATGTGTGGAAGCTACGTAAAACTGTTCCAGTGGTACGGAGGGGCCCGTTGAAGCCCATGATACACATACGGTCTCCGCTAAGTTCACGAACCGGATGTCTGGGTTTGCCCCCCGCCATAGCAAGCGTTTTCTCAGGTTCGGGGCGCGCAGTCACTACATCCAGCAGCCCCAGCAGTCTTTGTTGAAAGTCATCCATCTCCTTCCGCTAACATAGCAGGGTGTAGAAAGACCCCTATAGTCCCCCTCAAGTAGATAGAATATGGCTTTGGGTTTTTTAAATAAGAGATCCCCAGATACTCTACATTCTATCTACTTAGGGGGACGAAAAGCCCTAAACCCTAAACATTACCCTCCGGGCCAGGATTGGAGAAATTCTGTGCACAATGGTATTCCTCTTTGGCTACAACTTCCTTCTGGGGCTCCAAAAGGAGTCTATCTTCTCCTGGAATATCTTCAGTGGGTGGGTCCCGGCCTTAAAATTCATGCGCGATGCAACATGCTGACATGGGGGATTGTCAAAAGTATGTTTGTTGGGATACCCACAACATTAGGGCATATTATTGGGGCATATTATTGGGCCTAAAGAGGACCAGAGTGACGACTCTCCATATCTCCAAGCAGTCATGAACCCTTGTGCTTGCCCATGCAAGGACATTACAACCGTGTGGGTTGTGGGAACACATGTTCTGGACACGTGGATCACTGCATTGATGGTGAGCCAACGCATGTTTTGTTCACCTGTCAGTGGCAGTAGGGAATGAATGAAGCAATGGAAAAGAACATTGAATTGAGTGTCTTATCAGGAATTATATGAAGTAAGGACATGAAATACTTAAGGATTACCGTACGGACCCATTCCTCCCTTCCCTGCTGAGAATCGGTAGTTTCGTGTTCCTTTTCAGGGCTACTGGGAGGGTGAGGCGGACGTCGTAAGTAGGTTAATACATAGTACTCCTATATGAGCCATTGTCTAAGTTCTTAGTGTTCCCCTTAATGAACCCCTATAGTAGTCCCTTATACATCCTCCACATAACCCCCTTGGAGGATATAGCCCATATATCCCCTTATCAACCTACTTCCCAAATTCCCCTGGCCCTTCAAGTCGGTGTGGGGAAAGAAATTTCAGAAACGAAGGCGCTGCCAAGCCTACACATAGGGCTAGTTAGGATTTAGGGTTTAGGGTATCGGGATTATTTAAGGGAATAGAATATAGGCGTTCAAGGCATAATTTCATGGAGAAACAGATGCAAAAGACGATGGAAGCTGGGTCTAACAGGGGGCCTACTCCCTGTTCTTTGAAAATTGGTCCCGCATACTAAATGGGAGGCCCCTAATATGGACCTCCTTCAAATATAATCATCCTCATTGCCGGGATCCCCCAGAAAGGGGCCTCTAAAGTTGGAAACCTTCAGAGGGCTGAGAAGCTGGAAGACTGTTCCGCAAGGTGTTGCTAATCAGGTGCACACCAGATACCCCTAATTAGACCTACATAGGATTTGAAGGCCGAGGCGTGTGGCATTCATGGGTGCACCCTAAGCACGAACCCTGAACCATCATAGACCCCAAACCCTAAACCCCAAACCCCAAAACCCGAATCCCTATGATCCCTAAGTTCTGGAAACCCATGGCAGGTTAAGAGACTCTCTTCGGTCCATAAGTATGTCGTCAAATGCTTCACCATGGTGGTGCTGCGCCCAGCAGGGTTTAGGGTTTAGGGTGTTTGGGGTTTTCTCGCTCTCCCACCCTTTATAGGAGTCCTTGCTGCAATAATGGAGAATCACATGGAAAATCAGATTAAACATGAAATGGAAACTATACGGTTGTAGGGGATGAACCCCCGCCGCCTAATGATGAATACCGCCAAGATAGTATCATTATATACCAAGGGGGGGGGCGCAGTTCTGTACTGATGCACCCTAAACCCCCAACCCTAAACCCTAAACCCCAAACCCCAATCTCTAAACCCTCAAAGACCCTAATCCGCCGAGCAAGGTTCTGTTTGGAATCACGTGGTACCGTGGCAAAAAACACTGGACCTTGGCGGAGGTTTCCAGGGTTTAGGCTTTAGGGTTCAGGGTTTGGGTATTAGGGTTCAGGGTTTAGGGTTTAGGGGTTTAGAGGTTTAGTGGTTTAGAGGGTTGAGGTTTAGCGGTTTTGGGGCTTTAGAGGTGTTGGATTCTCAGAAGTTAGGGTGGATGCACCGGACAGGCCTTGGTGGCCGTCATGATTGTGTTGCTCACGTGGCAGTTCGCAGCTTTGGCACATGAGGAGACTTCTTAGCATTCAAATTTTGATGGAAGACACACGTGGGTGGTTGTCAAAATTATGGTCCCTTTTTGGATCCCGATTATAATACGGCACCTAATATTTAGGGTACCCAAAAAGGGACTATAATTTTGACAACCACCCACATACATGTATACATGTAGGTAAATTTGTGAGAGCTATGGCCTGTTGAGAAGAGGGGCACATGTAAGTGTTGAAGAGCGGTGAAGATGGAAGAGGTCTCAACCAGAAATCCTTTGCACAGTGAATTCTAAACCGGAATTCTGAAGGCCTGGGCGCCTGAACTTTCTCCATACAACACCCTCACTTGATATTTGAAGAGAACTTTGAAGTACTGGTCTCCAAGTTTTCTCTGTATGAGCTACATATTAGCATTACCCGGCGACGAGTAACGGGGGGACATAGGGATGCCATTGGTAGTTTAGTAGTTCTGGGCTCTTTGTTTTCTGTATATTACTTCCTTACCAAATATGTGCTTGAAATGTAAAGAGGAATTCTTAAATTTTGGGCTTGTGCTTTGGCTAATATAATGAGTTAAATATGTTTCAATTTTAAAAAGATGGCTCAGATTCCGGGCTTCGGCTTTGCTGTATATACAGTCCCCCTTAAGTAGATAGAACATGGATTTGGGCATATTACAATAAGATCCCCATGTACCCCATATTCTATCTACTTAAGGGGGACTGTATACATATATATATATATATACAACTGGTTGCGAATTTGCAGGAGAAGCTCTTCCTTTACGTTGGCAGCAAATTTACCGGATAATGTTTTGCTCCTGGTCTCCTTATTTCCTCTATTATACGCCCTTACTAGGCGTGTTTCAAATTCAAAAACGAAATCTCAGATCCTGGGCTCTTGGTGTTCTTTGTAACTACATTCCTTGCTACATGCGCCTCCAGACGTTGTTTCTATCTTTAACACAGCTTCTGAAATCCTGGGCTCCCGCTTGTATTCCTCATAGAGAACAGGAATTCTCAGGTCCTGGTCTCCTGATTTTCTCTATCTAAATCCTCTATTGAAGTGGCATCGCACGCAAAGGACAGTCTTCTGACCTTTGCAGGAATTTTCAGGTCCTGGGCTCCTTTTTCATTATAGAAAGCCTTTACTCAATCTGCTTTGAATCTACAGGAGAAATCGTGAAGGGCACTTGATTTTTGTTTGAATAGATATTGTACTCCTTTGGAAAAGAATTCCTTGATTCTGGGATCTTGATACAGAGAATTCCGGATTCCTGGATTCCGGACGAGTGAATGCGATTGCTGCTGCAACACACTCTCCAAATCTTAATGTGAAATAGACTAACAGATGTCGTCTTTTCATCATTCCATAGTGAAATCCTAGATTCGCAGCTTCGCAGCGTTGCAGATTCGCTGACTCGCAGATTCGCAGATTGATGACGGGCGGCTTGAGTATTGTTGGGGCGTCAGCGTTTCAAAGGGGTTGTGTGGGAAGGGGGGCTTTGGTGGGCAGGCCAGAGCAGAGTTGTAGCTGGTCGTCGTTGCCGATTCGCAGATTTGGAATTTGCGGGTTCCATAGCCCACAAGCTCCTAGGTTTATGGCCTGTGGAAATCTGCGAATCTGCAGTTCTGTGAGTCTGCAAATCTGCAAATCTGTGATTCCGGAAAATCTAAACGAATCCTATGTTTTTGCTTCGTGTTGACAGCATTCAGAAGTTCCATCGCCAGCCTCCACCCCTCAACACCTCTCCCATCCACCGGGAGGAATAATGATAGGAAGTAACACGAGCACGAACCTCAACTGCGGAAGAGGTACCTGAAGCATTTTTTATGGGTACCACATATACGTATGTAGTACATAATGCATGCGCACACACGTATAGTAATATGTAGGTATATATGGCAGTTTCCCAAAATAGGGGGATCCCAATATAGACTCCCAGATATTATAAACCTTGATATAGGGAGCCCCAAAATGGTACCCCTAATTTTAGGAAACCCCCATATATATATATATAGAAGAGGGCAGCTCGACTCACAGCTCCTCTAGCGCCCCAAATTGGGCTGTGCCAAACCGATAGTCATGTTTGATGGTGCCCTGTGAGACTGAGGGGTTCAGGCGTTTACAGTGGAGGGGCTTAGGGTTTAGGGGTTCGGGCTTTAGG